GTTTCTGTGTGTATCAGAAATAAATTGCGACTGTATCACGATTACATGTACATGTAATAAAAAACTCTCTTTGATATTTTAAACAACAAAACGACATATCTAGATATAGTTTATATAGCCTTTCTTCCGGTTATACTATTATTATATAATATAAAACGGCTTAGCACCGATCCTCGCTTTATTCCTTTTCCCACTTATTTAAATTATATAAATCTTTTAATCTCACGCATATGAACTTTTAACAGCTCAAGAGAATTTATAAACTGAAAAAAATTATATTCGGTGCTTTAATTTGGAGTTTTAGTGTTCAATTACAATGGACATATCAATTTGATATTTTTCGTTCGAAATATTCTCTGGTGTCATGAACCTGAAATCAAGACCAATCAAAACAGTGTAATAAACGAATTAAATCAATCTTAAAGCACAGTAATGATCATAAAGATTTTTGCATAAGGTCACAGGAAAGGAAGAGACACGGACAGTTGCTGGCAGAATAAACCCAACAACAAAGAAACAGCGTTGGTACCTTCAAAGCAGTTATACTTTGTCTCAAATTCAAAACATCGACTAATCGAATTACGTGTAACTATTGCAAATTAATTAATTCGAATTTAATTATCAATTATATAGTTTAAATGGTAGGTAATATGGACGAATTATACATGAACCCTTCAATAAAGACACAACTGAGCTATCTCCGAAGAACAAGGATTAAGACCAACTTTCGATGCAACAGGAAGAACTAAAGATATTTGTTTCAACGCAGGCAAAACTCTAAGAAAATTCTAATTTTTTCGTGCCAACAGTTATCTCCACTTAATTTCATTTTGATAAAATTGTAGCACGATGGGGCCCGGCTTCTGTCGTTGACCAGAGAGAGCAGTTAGTTTGATCCACGGTGAAAAGATTGACGACAATATACAGGATGAGGAGCGGTCAATAGACCCCAACCAGAAATAGGACTGGTATAGACAGAGTGCTTCTAGGTAGTCATTCAGATCACGTACCCGAACTCCACATTGTTATTTAGAGTGATTATACCATCGTTCAGATGCTTGTTTCAACCGAATTAAATAGAATCGTATTTGTTCTATTTCTCTTACAATATCGGCTTTAAGTGGCTGCATACAACAGCTGTTTGTGGCCAGAATATCAAGACTCATTATTATTAACTGAAGCCACAAATAATACTATATTATCATACAGGGTTCATAACTCTATGTTCAACATAAAACAATGTAATTGTCACACATGGACACGTGAGCTGCCAACGTTGGCGAACCATAGCTATATAGTTGTAAAAGTTGTTAGTCGACAACAATACGAGCATTGGTTCTATTAACCTCCTATTATGATAAACATTTTCCATAAACAGATGCGAACATGACTTTATAACAATGCCCAGATGAGATGGAGCCCGATCTGCGAGGTTTCTCCTATTATTATCACAACCAGGTGTAAATCATTACGTTTCTAGTATCCTTATTCACAAACGCTGAATTAATAAATCGTATCAGTTCTTAGTTTAGGTACTAGGTCGATAAGTGACATTACAACAAGAAGATGGATTAACAAAACAACCCAGCCGAATCATATGAGGACGGGTACCTAGAGAGACACCGCCTGGAACAGAAAGTAAATAGAAAAAAAGAAAGCTAGGAAACAAAGGGAGCCAAAGTGTTGCAATTGGTAAAGCAGATCAAATTTGGTTTCTTCCATCCCAAATCGCAGAAGACATGGAAGAAAAACTCAAAGTCTACAGGGAACCCCCATTAATAGCTCTTTACGATAGCATGCAGTTGGATACAGCTGGTGTATTATTGATGTCTTCAATGTCCCCTAAATAGATGACAGGAAAACACCCTCGACCCTGCAGGGGGACCCATATTAGTCGCTTCGATACGATCATGCAGTGTGTTACAGCAGACCTATTTTCCCCGTACCTGTGTCGTTTTAAAATACAACAGCGAGATTTCAATTAAACGTTTCACTTCGTCAAAATTTCACCAAACGTCCTCTATTCCAGCGAATTCGAATTTGCGCGAATAGTATTATCCTGACGAAAATGCGACTATAACACCCATGTAAACAGTATTTTTCGCAATCTCAATTTTTTTTTTGTACCACAAAAAATCGATGTCTTTTTCAAATTAATGAATGTTATCATTACATTGTGCGCGCTTCTGCAATATATCTTCTGCTGAAAGCAATAAAAAAAAGTGTTAGACATTATTACATCTTGTGCAGAGCCACTCTGCGCATGATCTGGCGTCAAAGTACAAGGACACGTTCATGCGTTCAGCCAGTCTCCTAATTAGCACTATTTGTCTGACCCAATTCTAACAATGACACACCGTGTGGGCCCGACTGCGATAGTCTGACTTATAAGTGCGTCTGTAGGTGTGCACGATTGATCCTTTGATCGATAGTTCTACCATCTTGATTTGCTACACAACAGCTGTCCTGACAGATCACGAGTGTGCAGCATGTGTACAACTCTACAGGTGTGGGATATTAGACAATTATTGGCCTACTGTATCCAGGTAAATACGTATACGAGACGACTAATGTCCTCCTTTGGATTATAAACTCCTATCGTTTCGGTGGTGTGTCTCTCAAGGTTCCTCAAACCACCACGTGATCTGAATCACGTGAACGGATGGCGTGTCGTGCTACCGTGACTAGCCTTTGTGATGATATTTTTCCGAGGAACAATTAACAACAATGTAATGGTCCTATTGCAAGTGGGTAACGTCGTCATATGACCTTAGCAGTTGAAAAGACGTCATCTCAATTATAATTTCCATAATATTGATATGCATTACACATGTGTGTATTTGTGTGTATGAAAATACATATCCGTGTATATAACTATGTTAATATCACTCCCTTCTTTAGATTAGTGAATTCTGATTGCGTATGAATTAGCGCATCCATAGACTATGTTTGTTGCAAACTGCGTTCATACTGTCGTATACGCCGTCAAATGGAAGGTCAATTATATCACCAACAGACTACTTGTCACCACTACCAAGTAGAGATGATCAATTGTTGACCATCATAACATCATTTTTTTTCATTAAGCCCGCGACGGTTTCATATTCAGAGCTCCGGGTTGTTATCTGCTACGCGATTTAATTCTGAATATTGTATATCTAACATTGCGCTTCAATTACCAACTATCACTACAAAAACGCAGAAGCAGCAACCGTACCTTTGCTTTCACACAGAACGTAATTTAGAGTAAATAATCCGTCGTATATCATTTAATGCAAATCTGATGCAAAGCAAATATACAGCATCCTCTTCTATATAGCATAATAAATAATAATAGAGTAGCGTGGTGATTTGAATACTAATTCCACAAATCTCATTCCACTTGTCAGTCCTGCTAATATGCAATCAATACAACGCAATATGAACGCTTGGATTTCAATTAATCGTTGGCCCATAATATCTGGACACGAATGTCGTCAAGTGTAAGCTTCCGTTCGGATTATCAAATAAATAGCCCTTTACTTAAATCCACTGATACTGAATCGATACTCGACAGGTGCCCGCTCTGTGTGACACACACCTTACATGTCTACAGGACGGTTATCAGGGGTACCGTCATATAAACAATCACGAACGGCTCTCCGTTTTATGGTTTATTGGGTCGATACTAAAGTAACATCCCAGGAAGGCGTCATGTTTTTGGAACTGGCAATGTTCACAGTGTTTCATTAAATAGAACCTGTGAAATTCCAATCTAACGATGTTTTGAAACAAGATGTAGGACCACTTTTTATATCTGTCGTTGTTCAATATCTTAGCTATCAAGAGTCTTACATTATCATTGGAGATTACCTATAGGTAAACATACCATCAACTCTACAATATTGAATTTCTTACATACTATCTTTTTTTCCTGAACTAATAAGCTTTTTGTGTAGGAATTTTATCACATCATTTTCTTCCACCTGTGCGTGGTCCCGGAAAGTTATCGTGACGCATCAGTAGTTATGAATGACATTCGGAACGAAATCGGAACGGAAATACTAGATGACTGTTTATTGCAAAAATGGAATTAAAAAAATGTGGAAAAGAAATTGAAGATTCTACAGCAATCTTAAGTACGAATATACGACTGTCATGCGATGTAATTCACGACAACTGGTCCATTTGTACATTAAGATAACTGGTCGGGATCAAATAGATAATAGATAACCAGGTCCAATTTGAAATGACGAGGGAGATAGCTGCACAGAATGAACTGATATTTCAGTACCTGCATTTATCATTCTTTCTTAAACATGTTTCCCTATAAAAAAAGACCGAAAGGTAAATATTGTCACTTGTGCAAAATGAGCACACAGACGTTAGCAACGTTCATCTCATTGTTTTGTGCATCTACCGACAAGCCGACCAGTGAGATTGAATTCATACTCATAGCGATCGGTCCAGTCAGAAAGGTGTTTGGGTTTTTGTGGGTGTGGTTTAGACTTCTGGTATACTTATATTGACTATATTGATCAACTGAAAGCAGCGGACGTTGCGAAATAATTGGCTAAACATGATTGCGTCGACCGAATTGACATTCCGTGCTCTGTAAGCCCCCCAAATACATCAGCGTGTGTTAGTGGATCAAGATAACACAAAGCGTATATATGCGCTGCATGAACACAATGGTCATGTTGATGATTAAGGGGGTCTACCATTGACCCTAGCATTTATACCTATATTGAAATCACAGGTTTACACGCTGAATACGCACGCCGGAGGCGACACAAATATTTAAATCACCGATAATCTGATGCACTTCAGTTTTATTTGGCGTGAAACGTAAAAACACGTCAACCACTAACTAACGTGAACTATTCCCTTACACATTGTACTCTTTAAACACTGTGACACGATGTTCCTATGTTGCATGTCTTACTTACCGAGCTAGCAAACATGTATGAAGTGCCATAACTCTGAGATATTCCTGTTGCACGTTGTGTTTTTACACTTACCCAGAACATTTGTTTCGTAAATCCCGGGATTTTCTTGTGGTAAGAACCACGGTGTCTGAGTAACGCTAACACGAAGTCCACATTGTCAATATTGTTCATCGCTTCGTCCACCGTCGCCATGACAGTAGTCGCGTGCTTCTCCAGAATTTCGTCCACTCTCATTTCTTCTTCTGTCTGCAGATGGTTGAGCTTCTGGAACAGTACTTGGATCTCACAATTAGACCGAAACATTCTGAAACATATCAAAAGTAACATGTAAAAGTAAAAGGGAAGATTAAGCCATGTGAAAGATCATTCAAAAATTGTGTTAAAATCTCTTCACTTTCCCAGAAGGAGACGTTTTCTTTTAATTATTATTTTTGATTTCCCGAGGTAGACCCAGCCCATCAGCCAAAACGGTTCTGGGTTCATAATTCATTTACACATTATTTGATTTCTATGGCCAAGGGATGAACCATGTTAATTTTAAAAAGATCCCTTTAGCCAAAATGTCTCGTAGCTTTTTAAGGAGATTGCCCTAAAACTACCAAAGACGGCTAACAGAACAAACAGAAATGACAACAGTCACGGCAGTGTTGACTTTTGTCTGATTAGAACGCTTCTGGTGGGAACCATTAAAACACAGGGCAATCTTCAGTCTGTACACCGGAGTTGCCCAATCAACATCCCGTATATTTATTTGCACGTGGTGTAAATTCACAACGTTAGCAAAACAACATAGCAGTCGAATTAATTACAGGGATCAGACGCCAGATACATTAAGCATTTTCTTATAAATTCACAGCGTTAACGCCATCGAATTCGGAGTATAATATTCAGTGAAGTATCACGAACAAATATTGAGCACACATATTTCCTCTCAGGCGAAAAAATGTTATTTGGTCTGCGGGACGGTTTGATTTATGCTTTACTTAATGGTTTGTGTGTGGTACCGGAGGCCTGTGTGTATCAATGAAATTGTATCGAGAGGTTTAGTATCTGAGGACCCCACGAGACAGTTGCGTCCAAGAGTTATGAGTGTAGTAGGTGTCGGATACCATGGGGCTATTGGGGTCAAGTTTATTTTCTGAGGCAATGGGTAGTAATGCGTCCTACTGTTCATGGGCCGAATCAATTAATGAAAAAAAGCCAATTTGTTCTGATTGAATTATGCTATCCAGTCGAAACGACAAATCCAGCCGTATGAAGAACGAAACACAACACGTCCCTGTGGACAACGGTGTTAATTGCCAATCACGTCAAGTACGTGTTACATGGTTATTCTCAAATCAAACACGACGATCTCTTAGTATCACGTTTACCAATGTATCATTTATTACATTTTTGTCATTGTTTAATTAGATTTTTTCAAAACAATTTGCAAAAAAGGAGTTGGAAACGGTATTAATTCGGAAAGCTTTAATCTGAAGAAAAAGAATCTCGTAAAATCCTCAGAGCGACTATAAAAAGAGGATTTGTAATATTAAAACAACACTGCTATATTTTGTTTCCATTTTGATAACACAGCAAGCGGAAATTGCCACCTCGAGACCACGTGATACAGTGCATTAATGTTACAACATTGGTCAATAAACTTATACCTCCGATCGAATTGATTCAGGTGGTTAAATATCCCCGAGAGAAATTACAAAACGACATTCACAATAATAATGACGATACTTGTAGGATTCTTTATCAACATATACATAAATGTAATTTGTCAAGCACGCGCAGAACATCTTACTACTGCACGAGATGTTGTAATACATTGTGTTTGGATCACAAAATTGGATTAATATGAAATTCAATAATAATACTGAAAACTCGCTATATCCGAAACATAATTTATATGTAGGACCTGCACAGATTTTGTAGATCATAATAATTGTTTCTCTAGAGCAAAACATTCCTATAAATACCACCAGCTAAAGAAAATCCGGACAGTATTCGACATAGGTGAAGTCAATTCACCACTCCCCAAAAATTCCCACTTATGATGCTATATTTTATCATACAATGTATCATTTTCACATTTTACAGTATACAGTGTAAACATTTGTTTGTGTGACTCATTCGATTTCCAAATCGGTACATGTATAGTTGTTGTTTTTATAATTACTTTTCTCGTAGATCGTAGAAGCAAGGTAAAAGATGTCAACCCTTGAATTTGAAAGGACATTTGCTCTACACCAAATAAGGAAAACCATACACCACTGGTTTGCTTACAGAACAACGAGATTTCGTTTGGAAGTGCTTGAAAACGCGTTTAGGTCGCGTCGTAATATCACGCTGTATGTCATATCCGTTGTTGATGTATCGCAACAGGCAAATCATGCCAATACGCTTTTTAAATTAACAAATTAGCGGAAAGGTAGTCTGAAGGTTATACGTCAACTTGTAACACACAAACGGGTCAGGTTCTGGCTGTATGATGCATACAGGAGTTGAAATGTTTCTGTTTACAAAGCGTTTTATGTGCAAATTAATTAACAAACGTCTGCTGTGAAATTTTGCCGATATATTTTTACGTTTTGAGCATAGGGTAAAATAAAAATGAAATGAAGTAGGCGTGATCTTTTTCTACATTGTTGACCAGATAAATGGCAGTTTTATTTTAAAACTTACCACAAGAAGAAGCCTATTTATTTGAAAGCGGTCATTGTTCCTGAAATCTGATGTGCTATTTATGGGGAGAGAGGGGAGATAAAAGGCGCAATTACAGCTTCTGAATCACAGCAACCCCATTCACACCGATATGAGATGTGAGCCTACAACTGTCATGTACATGTATAGGTTAGGACAGACATGTACATGATGATATGTATTAATACAGGGATTTACGTTAAAGTTTTGTAATATATGTGACCATTCACGTGAAGTTTGAGTTACGCAAGCATTGGTTTCCCGACTACAGTCGCCTGTGTCGGTGAAGATGATTCTCTAGCGCGTCTGAGAGACTGAAGTCGTGTGTATCGGTCGAGTATTATCCCCCAGACAAAAGTTGTTGATGTCAATTGGATTGCCCAAACCCCTCCCCTACACATACATCGCTCGTGTCGGTCACCCAGGGTGCTCATCACACACAAAACAAGTCATGTGTCTCGGTTAGGATGCTTCCCCGACACATGTCGTCCATGTCGGCCAAATTACTGTCAGAGAACACAACTGGGGACAAAACACGAGTAGTCACATTGTCGCCTGTCTAAATTACGACATTTTTCTGAGCAGCTATGGGTCTCGTAACATTTAACAATGAGAACATATAGGGGAATCTTGTTACGTCAAATGCAGGTTTATTGCTTCTCAATCGTGCAAAAAGGTCAATGAATTGTATGCTGCTGTGTTCAAAATACGAGCGCCGTAAAGGGCATTCTTTTGGTAAGGATTCGCAAACCACTGTCTTGTGTGATCCTCAAATATCAAAGGTCAATCAGAAACCAGGCTGAAGAGAAATGATGTAAAGCGGGAAGTTTTGCAGTTGTACGTGTAACCGTTCGAAACAGCAAAGTACACAGTTAGAATCGATAATTCTACCGATAGTGAAGCTTGGTTTTTCTATATTAAACGGTTGAGTTCGAATATCAAAGTTAATAAGGGGAGAACAAAAAGAACAGCGGATATCTCGTGTGTACTCCACCGGTATGAAAGTTACACGAAGACACCATTCCAAAAGAAGCTATCTTCGACTGTTCCTACAACATAGCGCCTTGTTGACGTCTTATATTTCAGTTGTTAAGGTAAATTGTCACTTGACCTACATTTCTATCAATACTGCCTTCCTCTATTTCAGAGATTACTTTATTACAAAATGATTTGTTGCCCTAACACTTTCCTCCTCCCCCAAAATGATCATTGTATTATAACTGTCGTGTCCAATAAGCGTGGTTGTTGTGTAATTGGCGCGAGCGGGCCGCGTGGACCCCTGGGATCAATAGAACGCTGACATTGATGTGACAGTATCACTAAGTTTGTATAAGGCAATCCTATAATAGACAGTTTGTTTCCCCACGGGTGTGTTATTGTATTACTGGGCATATTCGGGTCCCCATGGCGGTGACGGTATCCAGACGGTCAGCGTTAGTGACAATTCTCTCCTTCACGGAATGGTCAGCGCTACTGACAATTCTTACTTTCCCAGCAAGAGTTTTCTATGTGTCCACAGTATTCATTTCACGTTTTTTGGCATGGAAACGCGCAGATACTGTACATGTAATACACAGGATAAGAATCACCAAGCTCAGTCTAGTTTTCGCCCTTCTATTGCAACTGCAATGCGCTGTCCTTGCTAATCAATGCTAAATGCGGGTGCCATTCTCCAACAATGTACGATATCTGGGTGCCGATTTCGAATGCTTGATGTCTTGGTGTCGTCTCTGATGACGACAGAGTATTTTCAGACCATAGCGACAATCTGAGATATGTTATCGAGTCTAAGCATTACAATAAACCATGTTGTACGGGCAATGGCAAAGACATGTCCTTGACGTTTGACTAAAATGGCTCCGAAGAATTTAGTGTTTAGCGAACCAACCAGAACAACGACAGTAGCTGTTAGGAACCAAGAGAACATTGTTATATCAAGTTTTCTTACCAAAGGCGTAAGTAAAGTGACAATCACAGGTCAGGCCGCCATTTTAAATTGCGATATAATCTGAAAAAAATTCTTGGCAAATCAAAGACCACTTTTACTCAAGACATAGATCTTGGGGAAAAAAATCAGCTGATGATCATTTGCATAAAACTTTGCTAAACTTCTCCTATTGGAACTGGAAACTGCTCCTGCCTCAATAACCTCTGTTTGCCAGGTTCCACTACCACCGAGGGGAGCCACAAACTTCATGCACGTATATACCATATGGACCTCATTGGCCCAGGGATGTCTCGTAGCAAAAGAGGTTGAAATACCTGAATCCATACCTAGGTAGCAGCTGTTTGAAGATATATCCCTTATTTCCCCTATAAGGCCAAGCCTCTCTGCCCCCGAGGGGAGCCATACACTACGTGCTCATGTATAAAACAATGAATCCCCTTGGCGCAGGGTTAAGGTCAAATGTTAAACCCACTACATCGACCTTTATTAGTAGTCTTTTTAACATGTATATACATTTTCCCTATAGGGCCCCATCCGTTATACATCATTAAATTATCTTGCTTTTCGCATGATTTCAGCTAAATTAAATTCAAACGTCTTCACCCATACTTGTTGAGTAGGCTTTAGAAGATTTACCCCTACTTTCCCTATTTGGCCCCGCC